TTATAAGTTTAGTATCTAAACTATTATTTTTATTTTTATTTTGCACTTAAACTTTATTTTTTTTTAAATAATGTCTAACGCTTAGTTTAAGTTTAAATCTATTACTAGTCATTTAAAAAATTAACAAAACTCTTGATATTACATTTTATTTTCAATGATAATGTGATATTATCTCATGATAACACGTCAAATTTATCATTAAGTTTTTGACGATGAGGTACCGAAAATAAAACATTTATTAAAACGTTAGGTATAATTTTGGGAAAAAAATAAAGTTTAGATACCAAAACAAAATAAATGTAATAGTTTAGATACTAAACATGTAGTTTATCCTAAACGTTATATAGATTTTCATTTTCTTTAAACACAATATTGTAAGTTGTAGAGTCTTGCTATTTCGAGATAAAATATTACGATAGAACCATCAAATCCACAAAAAAAGGAAGCCCTTTCTATTGTGATTGTGAGAGATTTAATAAAGTGGTCCAAATTCAATTGAGTGACAATTTTTAAAGGTAATTAATTAAGCAATAATATATTTATTAATTGTTGTTTGATCTCATGCTTAATTTTGTATATTTAGTACAATATAACTCGTGGATGTATTTCGAGATTTGAATGAGTGACGTGTTTTATTATGATTATGCGATAGTTATATCTTTGATACATTTTAAAATCATAATTTTTATTATTATTTACTTTAATTTTATTTCTAATTTTCTACATGTTATTTCAAAGAAATGATAGAACTAATATGCATATTTGATTTTATCATTTATATTTTTTTTGAAATAAATAACTGATAAAAATAAAACTATGTATAAAATTTAAAGTCCTTAAAAAGATTCAACTTCTGTTAAGACTAAGTTCTGGATATTCAGGAGAGGTCAACAGAACAAAAAAGACGCGGGCATTGCAGAAACATCGGTCACAATAGGAAAAATGTTCAGCTCTTTTATCATCACTTAATCGTTAACCCTTATTTATGTAATTGCATTTTCTATTTCAATATATGTATTTGTTTCTAATATTTCAATGTAATTGCATTTTCTACAATTTCCCAATGTATGTGTATTTTCTACATAAATTTCTCACTTACCTCTTACTTCAAGTGATTAAAATTTTCATTTTAATCGAACCTTACCCTAAACCACTTTAACCTACACAACCCTTGACCATTCTCACCTTAAAAAACCCTAAACCACTTTAACCTACAAAACCCTTCACCACTTTCACCTTAACGAACCTTATACCACTTTAACCTAAAATCACTCAAACCTAAATAAAAAATTTAAAAATACCTTCGACTATTCTTAAATCATAATCGAAACCCTTTACCTAATAAATTATCAAATTCTAATAACCCTAAACCACTATCACCTTCAACCCTTAACCCTTAACCGAAACCCTTATTCAAAACCAGATGAAAAAACGCATTCCCCAAAAGAGCTTTTGTAAGACACGCCTCCTGAAACGTTCTCTCCACCATGGCGCCACATCAACTGGAAGGAGCTTCCCCTGAAACGCGCCTTACCTCCACATCAGCAAATCCCGTTAAAGCACGCTCCCGGAAACACGCCTTAGTTCCACATCAGCCGAATGGGTGTTACTTTGAAAAATATTAGGAAAATGGTGTTACATCTGGAATATTAGAAAAATAGGGTGATATTTAGGTCGAAAATCCCCCATTCTACCCAGCACTTATTTAACGAAATAGTTTATATAAATAAAATTCTTTAGATGCAATTTGATAGAACTGAAAAACAAACCACAAGTACTTTTAGATTATTCATTTAAATTGGTAATGATATAAATACAGCCAACAAAAGAGAAGGGGGGCGGGGATAGCAGCAGATTCAAGTCATCTGGTTTCGTAACAAATTTTAAAGCCTGCAAGAATAAGCGCTTTCCGAATAATACACCCATTACTTATTTGCCGCTCTATAAAGTAGAAGCTTTGAGTGCGATTCGCCCATGCTGCTTTCAACTAATTATTCGGCTTCCAATTTTCAAAAGTTGGCCTTCCGCTGCCAACTATTTAGTTCGGACCCTCAACGTAAACATGATTTAGTTGATGTTTGTTTTTACACAACAAAGCTCTTATGTCTGCGTCGTGCAGACATTGGACTTCACAGACCATTTGTTTTTTAGAAGACAAAAGCTCTTCTAACGTCTGCAGTGATCTGGCGCAGACGTGATCTTATATCTGCAAACGTCTTCTAACCTCTTCAAAGAAGTTTTAAATTTAATTTTATATTATATTTGATTTTAATTTTAATATTAATTTTTTAAATAAATTAAATATTAATTTTTAATATTATACTATAGATATTAATTTTAATATTAATTTTTTTAAATAAATTAAATATTAATTTTTTAATATTATATTATAGATATTTAATTTTATATCATATAAATTATTTTATATATTATTAAATTTTATATTTATTTGATTATTTTGATTTAAGTTTAAAATAATATTTTTTTTGGATTTGTTATTTTTAAATTATATTTAAATTTTTATACAAAATGTAAGTATTTAAACCACATTGCTTAATAAAAATGATTTCATTGTTTGATAATTAAGATTTTAAAATATAAAAATTATAAATTATGTTTTTAAAATTTTAAAATATAATCACAATTAAATAAAAAATAATCATAAAATAATTTGATAAATTAAAAAATATTTTCTAAAAATATCATATAATTATAAAATAAATTATGAATATATTTAAAAAAATTAAAAGTATTACATAATTGAATATTTTAAAAAAATCATATAATTTAATGATCATTTATAAATTTTATTCTATAAAACTTATAAAACTAATAATACATGTGATTATTTAAGACTTATAATAGAATTAATAAGGTGGTGTTTGTTTTTCTAAAAAAATTTATTATTGTAGTTGTATGAATTATTTAAATTTTAGTATTGTAAAACTAAAATTATTTAAATCTTAATATTGCAAAACTCTTTTAAGTTTAAAAAATCAGTTTATTTATATTTCAGTTTATTTTAGTAGTCTGCAGACGTTAAAAAATAAATAGTATTCTTCTTGCAGACTATAGACTTTTAGTCCACCTCTTCTACTGTAAATACCTGTAGATGTAATCCGCAGACTACAAATTTTTTACCTTTATTCGAAAACAAACAACACCTTAGTAATCCTTTTTTTAAAAAAGAGATGAACTGTAAGACTTTCTTTTTTAGTTTCGGAACGTGACTAACGATCAACTACAGTGACGGCTTTCATTTCTTAAAAAGGAAGTGAGTAGCAATTAATGGAAGGAGAGCCACAAGTTACGTACAACTTGAAGCAATGTGAGAGGAGACGACGGTCCCATGATTGCCGCATTAATTAGCCACTGACGATGCATTTTGATATGGTTTAATTAGTAGGTTGTCTAACCTCTGATCTCATAGAATTTCTACTCTGGGCAGATTACCCTGTTTGAAGAACCCGATGCAAATCCAGATGATGTGGGTCGACTTTGACTACGACCCTTTGGTGTCTGCAATGATCCTCGAGTATGAACAAGATTCTGAAATATCGGAGCAGATTAAGAACATTCTCTCAGAAAATGCTCAGTGAAATCATACTTGAAACACGCTCCTAACTTTTTACGACCTTCATTATCATGCTACCTATTACAGAAGTACAGGTAGGAGCAACCCGTTGTGTAGAAGAAACACCCCTACTCTCTAAAGGACGAAATGAATCAACATTTTTAGACCCAGAGTCAAATATCAAAATTTAAAAAAAAAATATTTATAAAAGCATTAATAAAGTTGAATACTTTCATTGAAAAAAAAATCTTTGATTATCTTTGATGAGCGCGAGATCTATTACTATTCCTTAACCCTTATATATATGTTCAATCAACCTTATCTAAAGATAATAATAGATTTTGAGACTCTATTTATAATTTAAAAATGATAATGAAAAATTAAAATAAAAAACTTTTTTATTAAAATATTTATTTAATTTTTTAAATTAATTAACAATTTATTATTTTACAACTTTTAAATATTTATTTAATTATTAAAATTTAAATTTGAACAAAACTCCCCTAATTTGGATAACTCAAATAAAACTTCATTGACGTAATGTGAACAAAAGAACAAAGAGGTAGAAATAAAATCACATGGGGGACTAGGAAGAAAAAGTAACCGCAAGTAGTATTCAATTGATATAAAAAGATTTTCACGCCCAAGCACATCTTATCTATCATTTCAGCTTAGCTTTATTCACAAGGGGTGTTTAAATTTTATTTTATGATTAATCTTCCAACACAGTCTCAAGAATTCGACCGTAGTGTTGCAAGTCATTGGACCAAGTCTAATCATCTGGGATCATTCGCCAGCATATTTGAAACACATATCAATCTCTAAATCTTGAGTTACTAACAGGTTTATATACAGTAGTTCATAGCCATGATTACCCATCACACAATTATTGAGATAAACCTACATTATTCTTATTATTTGACAACGACCTGTGTTGTTTTGACATGGCTGGTATTACTTTGTAAGGCAACCTTTAAGAGCGCATGTTAGGAAGAATTAAAAATCTTGATGTGCTACTTTGATCTGCAACTACTCGTTTAGTTGCTTAAAATTGAAACGATGGGAGGAAAAAAACACTTTAGTTGTAAGGCAGGATGGAGTGCACTTTTAATACAAATACATTAGCATTGTTACATTAAGAAAGAAAAATGAACTCTCAAAAGGACACAATGTTTAAGCTTCTATCAATTGAGACCATGGTTCCCAACACAATAAAGAAGGATAAAAGAAAAGTTGTTTCCATTGCCATGGATAAACTGTAGAGAAAGATTGAGCCTAATGCAGCTCAATAATTAGCGGTTTGGGAAAAGCACAAATCAAGTGATGTTGATGCCCCATGTAATGATCAGAGATGCACATGCTAGAAAAACCCAACCCCCTCCCCCTTTTTTTTGCCATCTTTTTTGTCATCCCATTTCTTCCCCACAACTTGTGGTCCGACCTCCCTTTCTTATCGTATTCGAGTTCAACACCCTTTCTTTTTCATCACTAAACTTGGTCACATCAAGCTTTAATCTCATTGTTTTCTCCTTTTATCTTAACCAACTAGTAGTCTCTCTTCCCTTCCCCACCTCAAAGATTCCAAGGACAATCAAATCCAAGTGATCACTAGCCACCTGCCTAACTCACTCCTTTTATTCCCTCTATGTAGTTTAACCCTTGCACTTCAACTCGGAATAGCTTCCTTCTAGCTTCTTGATTTGGGTACTTACTACTTCAAACAAACTCCAATAATGCCAACGGTTCAATCTAGTCCGTATTTGCAAATGGACAATCCGGCAATACTGTCTTTGCTTCGGCCTACTCCCGAACAGAAGCCCCGTAAGTCCAGTAGTGGTGGTGGTCTCATGCGTATGTTCAAGCTCTTCCCCATGTTAACCTCAGGCTGCAAGATGGTTGCTCTGTTGGGCAGGCCTAGGAAGCCTTTACTCAAGGATGGTGCTACCACAGGTACGATTTTTGGCTACCGTAAAGGCAGAGTTTGCTTAGCAATTCAGGATGATCCCCATTGCGTCCCCATGTTTGTCATCGAGCTACCCATGCTCACCAGCTTACTTCGGAAGGAAATGGCGTCTGATATAGTCAGAATAGCTCTGGAGAGTGAGACCAAGACTCACAAGAAGAAACTGCTGGAAGAGTTTGTGTGGGCCATCTACTGTAATGGAAGGAAAGTGGGTTACTCCATCAGGAGGAAGCAATTGTCCGACGATGAACTTCATGTTATGCAGCTCTTGCGTGGTGTGTCGATGGGCGCCGGGGTTCTTCCGAGCCCAAACGAGAAGGAAACCGTGACGTCCGATGGGGAATTGACGTATATGAGAGCAAGATTTGAGAGGGTGGTTGGATCAAAGGACTCGGAAGCATTGTATATGATTAATCCAGATGGTGCACCTGGGCCAGAACTAAGTATTTTCTTTGTAAGAGCTCGTTAGAAATTTGTGCTAGTTTTACACCATAAAACTATTTTTCTCTTTAATGTTTTTCACTAATTATTCAATGATGGAAAGAAACAGATCGCCATGGCTATACTGTGTTGAATGCACCATCCCATGGTTGAAGCTAGCTCATAGTTTTGCGGTAGATGCCAAAACCTTAATTAGCTGCTCTGTCACTTTCATGTAATTGAATACCGATGTAATCTCCTGTTTCTGCCTTGAGAATAAAATCGAATGCCGACATACCAGGTTCCCGTCGTCTCCAACTGCACAATGAACATTTATAATTCATTAATGACGGATTTTTTATTTTCTGATTCAAAACCGCGTAAGAAATGAAAATGATTATTGTCATTATGCATTAAATAAACATCTCAAGATTGAGTTCAAATATTATCATCCATAAAAGCATAGCCAAAGAAACCAAAAAGGTATATTAGGTTAGGTTTCATGGTTAATGTAGTGGTTGAGCATTCACTTTCATAGGCATAAATTTTTGTGATGATTCTTCCGAGGTCACGAGCGGTGATGAGCATCAATAAATTAATTTATAAAACATTAAAATTTTAAAAGATTTAACGTATAATTATAAATTAGTTAAAATTTAAAGGTAAACTATATCAGGTGACCACCTAACTATTGTAAGGATGAGCATTCGGTCAAGTCGAGTCGAGTCAAAAAAAATTTGAGTTATTCGGGTTAACGAGTCGTATTTTACAACTCGAACTTAACTTGAAATTTTTTCAAGCAGGGTCGAGTTTATTTGAGTCGAGTTATTCGAGTTTCTATACTAATTTTATTATAACTATTTATAGTATTATGACAATGATTTGTTCCAATTTTTTTGACTTTATCTAACCATATAATATATATATATATATTATTCTTTCATATTATAATGTTATTTAATATATTAAATACAATCTAAAATTATGAAATATATTCATAATATTATATGTTAAAAAAAGTATTTTGAGGGTAAATATTGATGAGAGTATAAATGAGTCAAAGAATTGATGAGAAGAAAGAATTTACACACATTGTAGTCAAACACCAAATTGAGTAAAATACAAAGTTAAGGGACTAAATAAAAGAGAGAGTACATCTTTAGTAAAAAAAAAATAACAATTGAAGTTACATAGGTATTCTATTGTGGTATATGAGCATGTGGTTCAAATTTGGTAAAAAAAACGACTTAAAATAAATGATAAATTGAAGAAATAAAGATATTATGAAAAATTGAATGAATAAATTGAAAAATAAAAAAAATTGTTATAAAAAGAGGAATTGAAATTACACATGTATTCTACTATGCTTTAGGAACATTTTAAATTTGGTAAAAATATACTTAAAATCGATTTTTTGAGTAGAATCAAGTTTTTCTCACCTTTAAACTATTGCCCCTTTTTATTTTGATTATCATTTTTGAAATTTTGTCAATCAGGTCACTCAAGTACTATTTAAATGCATTCAATAAAAACACTTGTCGTTAATATTTAACGGAAAAGCTGACGTGGCAGTTAAAATATTTGGTATAATTACACATTTAATCATTGTTACTTATATATTCTATCAATTTGGTCCTAATTTTTATAAATTAAAATAAATTTAACCCTCAAATATGCCAAAGTAGTTAATTGGAGAAGAATCCAATTTAATGCAAGTCGGTACAATTTTTCTTTTCTCTTTATCGGCTTTTATTAATAATAAAGTAAAATAAACATGTCAATGTTTTGTGATGAGACGTGCCAATATTTTTCTATGTTTTTCGTTTTTTTAGCTTAAAATACTATATTTACATTGATACACTCAAGACAATTAGTGTGATAAATTCATATGTTTAAATTATATATTTCAAAGATTTTAGGACTTTAAATTAGATATTTTATTTTATTTTGCAATTACTTTTAGACTGTTTATTTAAAAATATTTATTTTTTATTACTCAGCTATCCAAGTGTTATAACTTTACTTTTATCTAATTCGTCGCATTACAAGTAAAACCTAATTGTTTTGGATTAATTTTTAAGAGTTTAAATTTTTGTTTTTAATTAATATAGATGTATTTTGAAATCAAAGTGTTTGATGTTTATTTTTTAATTTCTCAAAATGAAATTAATTTTTTTTAAGTTTTTTTTTCTTGTTTGTTTTCCTACAAATTGAAAGAACAAGATGAATAAAGACTATTTTGGCACCATTTGATTTGAGGGTTAAGTTTATTTTAATTTATTAAAATTAGGACCAGATAGATAGAATATACAAGTAACATGGATCAAATATGCAATAATATCAAATATTTTAGCTGCCACAACAGCTTTTCCATTAAATATTAACACAAGTGGCTTAATTGAATGCATTTAAATAATTGAGTGACATGATTGATAAAATTTCAAAAATGGTGGTCAAAATTAAAAGGAACAATAGTTAGGTGTCATTGGTATAGTTTACCTTTTATTTTAAACAATTTACTTTTAAAATTTTAACTAATTTATAATTATACATTGAGACTTTTAGAATTTTAAATTTTATAAATTAAATTAATAATACTCATCGTTAGTGATGTTCATCGACAGGGATGGATCGAGGGAAAGGGGTGAGTTGGGGCAGTAGTCTCCTTAAAAATTTAAAATTACTGTATATTTTAATTTTTTTATGTATTTTATATTAAAAATCTGTTTCATCCTTAAAACTTTACTTTATCACCTTAAATTTAAATTTATTGTCTAACATAAAATCTTGTGTATATCTCTTCTAGTTGGTATTTGTCAATCGTAGTAAATTTTCCTAAATTCTTGACAGCTTGCCCTTCATTTGAAAAAAATCTTCTGCCGACGATATTGTTCCATAATCTATCAATTCTGAATTGATTTGATTATAAGTTGAACGAATTTGAAGAAGAAAATATTCAGTCCATTGAATTTACCCTTCCCTCTAAATATATATGAGCAGCTGACAGCTATGAAAGGTGGGGCAGGAAAGTAGAAAGGAACTACTACAGCAACAATAGAAGAATTAATGGATAATAACAAAGACAGTTAAAGAAAAAAAACCAGATCAAACAAAGAAACTAGAGAACATTAATCACGTAACAAGTTTGAACAAGAAAACGTTCACTCCTTTGAAATAACAACGTGTCAGGCGTTTTTAAGAAATAAATTAATCATGTAACAACCTTTAAATCGGTTTAACTTGTGGAGTTGCAAAGATATTACGCTATTAGTGTATCATGTAATAATATATTAATATTATATTTGATAAAAATATTTTTATTTTTCAGGTTTTAGCTGACGATAAATTTAAGCGTAAATTATATTTAATCATCCAATTATTATTTTAGATTTATTTGATCACTTAAATACTTTTTAAAAAATAATCACTAACGTTACGTTTTAATTTTATTTTGATCATCTACCGTTATAAAATTAACATAATTGGTGATGTAGTATTTTTTAAAAAAATCAATAATGATGTGGTATTACCTTATCACGACACTTGAGCATCATTGTTAATTTTTTAACACTAGATGATCATAATGAAACCAAAATGTAACATTAGTGATGACATAATGAAACCAAAATGTAACATTGTGATGATTATGGGAAAAAAATTGGGTGACCAAAAAAACCAAAGTAATAATTAAATGACTAAATACATAATTTACTGTATAAACAATTGATAATTTTTAATCACTTACAAACCCCATGGTTTACTTTGAACAAAGAAAATGAATAAATATTACTTGGAATAAACTGATTTTTTATTTGTTTTATTATTATTATTATTATTATTATTCAAATATTTCCATTAGAGTTTGATGTTAGAATTAAATCATAAATAAATATAAAAAATTTAACTATAATCTAATTATGTCAAACCATTAAGAATAAAACAAATACAATATTTACAGAAGCTTACCTGAATCCATTGTTGGAGATTACTTAGAAGGTTGAGATATTGAAGATTGCCTTTCGGATGTGATCTTTCAAGAAGATAGAATTCCCTTTAGTATTAATTATGTGACAGGATAAAAGAAAATACATGATATAGTTCTTGGGAACCATAACCCTTTATATAACTGATTGAATCAGTTTTATATGTACTTATAACTTTGCCTCTTATCGAATTATAAACACAAATTTAATAGTATCTACATTTTTATTTCAATGACTCTTTTAATACTTTACGACTTTACAACATAATTGGTCACTTAATTTATTTATATTTTATGATAACAATATACATTATAAATATGTACCTATAATTATAAATTTTAATCCAATATTTACTAATTAATTAACAATTGACATGGAATCACAGACGTCCGTTCCTATTCATTTTTTATTGCTAAGTAGGCCCTCGATGAAGACATCAGCCTCCATTGATCCAACAAAATGAGGTTCTCTAAGTCTGCGTGTTACCCCTCCTGTAACATGTTCGTGATGATCGCGGACAACAAAGCCAATAGTTACATCGAGGTTGTTCGGATACTAAAATAAATAAATAAAATTTAAATGCAAGTGTGTTTCATGATCCGTATCGAAAGAGCAAACGATACCCACACGAAAATCTAGGGTGTCAAACATGGGCTCTTATTAGCAAAGGATCTTAATGTTAGTTAATGTTAGAAGCTTGATTGTTGGGTTCCACCCCCCCCCCTCAATAGGGCACTCCAAATAATTATTTGTTTTAATAGAGCACCTCAAAAATTATTTTGGAATTTACGACATTTTCTACAGTGTAGGTAAATTCGTCACTTTGAGGTAACGAGTTCCATGAGATATAATTTTTTTTATTTCGGGCAGAATATTTAATATATCTCTTGGAATTCATCGCACTGAGATGATAAGTTTCATTAATCAAGATTATTATGTGCATTTTTATTTTCAATAAAATACAGCGAAACTCGTCACCTCGAGTTCCTTAGGTTTAGAAATTTATAATCGTTTTAGATTTGAAAAAGAGTCGTTGGAACTCGTCACGTTCATTTTCTCAAATTTTAACTATAAATAGGAGTTGGGTTAGTTGATAGAGTTATAGAAGAACCAAAACATGCGCTTATGGGAAGAATATTTCAAGCAATTTTTGAAAGATTATCTTTAGCCTGATTATTCTTCAGATGATTCAGATTCAAGCTCGTCTTCAGATGAGGAGTGGGTGAAAGAATCAATAAAGTTTATCCTTGATCAACATAAGGAGCTGAAAAGGGAGGAGGAGGAGGAGGATGAGAAGAAGAAGAAGAAGAGG